TATAAGGTATAACATTTTTTTTTACTCAATTATGCTAAAGTTGTTTACAAATTATTTTTTCAATGCTGTTAAACAATGGACACAATATATTTTACGAACAAAATAATACGAGTCATTTTTTACAAGCTTTTGTTTATTTTCATCTGCTCTGATGATTGTCATAAAATTATGCAAATTAAATTTTAATCAGTTCAGATATTGATTAAGCTAAATTTGTATAAATGTGTAATTCGCGTGACAATGCAATACTATGACGACATGATGGTGATATGGAACGACACATCCTCATCGAGTTTGGACTGGACTCCTTTTAATAGCATTGACGAACTTTTTTTTTTAAAAAAACAAAAAAAAATTAGGCTAAAAATGGCCGTAGCGGGATGAGGTGAGTAGACGGGGAACAAGTAAGTTTCATTGCGGCTATTATGAATAGAATGTGGAAAACTTTTATTACAAGCATTTTGTGTGTGAGCACAAGGACATTGACATATTGCAATCGACCTAGGTTTTATTTAAGGATATTTTTTCTGTATTATTTGATTTTTAGGGTTCCGTACCTCGAAATGAAAAAAACGAACCGGTGTAGGATCATTTTGTTGTCCGTCTGTCTTTCCAGACCCTTTTTCTCCGAAACGCGTGAAGGTATCAAGCTGGAATTTGTTTTAAAAAATGACCAGTATCGGGATTAAGACCGTTGAGTTAGGAGGCAGTAGTCCAAAAAGACAAATAATAATTATTGTACGAAAAAGATAGTGAACACCGTATCAGAACTTGGTAATAAAATGGTATTATCAGGGGATGAAAAAAACAAAATAACTCTGAAACATGGAACTAATTTCTTTACTTTAAAAAGCATGTCATTTTTCATGTACATAATTGTTCATGAAACAATTGCATGTCATGAAATGGAATGTATCTTTTTTACGTAAACTCGCCTTGAGAAGCTTGCAAGTGATTTAATTAGCTTAATTATATCTATAGCATACCAATGAAATTGTACAATAATGGCGATAACAAAAAAACTTGCATTATCTACTGTCACCTACTTGCTCTCCTATTGTCTGAATGAAATTGATTCCTTTGTATCTACGCTGTAATTAAGACAGTAATTCGAGACAAACTGTTGCCGGTGACTCCGTCTGCCTGTAGTTGATATAAATCTTTAGGGTATGAATTTCGTCAGTCTTTTATAAACGCATATGCAACATTTTAAAATGTTAAATGTTGCGTGAAAATCTATGTGAAAAATACTTCGAGATACAAACTTTAATCCATTAATTAGATATTTACATGATATACATTTCAAGTTGAAAATAAAAACCTAGAACACGAAATTAGTTTTAAAAATTGTTGATGTCTAATTTCAAGTAATTTTGCTAAAGAAATAACTTAAAGATGCTCTTCATACATGCTCAAACTAGAACCCTCCATTTGAGACCTTTAGGCGAAGAATTTTATCAAAATATATTTTAGTGCTCGCGTACTTTGTAACCATGAGTTTCCGAGACCAAACTCTCCTTCCTTCGCTGTTTTCCTTCGCCGTAAGAACGTCGGATAAATGTACATATGTAAATCGGAAATCGAAACACATTGGCACATGGCGGGATTCAAACCCATGACCTGCAGATTGCAAGTTAAGTGCTTGACCCCTGAGCCACCGATGCTCGTTTAATTCATATTGTTATCTAAAAGATCATAAAGGGATGACGATATGTTGTTGATTGAGATTTTGGTTAGCCCACAGTTAAATTACAATGAAATTTATACACAAGTCATACGGAATACATAACCTCCATGATAAAGCCGTATGTTGATCCATTTCATAGTTTAGCAGAACATTTGAATCAAAAAGCGACTTTCATTAGAATGAGAATAAGAAAAAGATAATTATAAAGGATAAAGATAACGATGTGACCGATTCGGTTTAAATAAGGCCGCATGTTTTTATAATGCGCAGTAGACCCTAACACTAGTACTGGCATTGACATTGTGGCCGAGCATTCGCTCAATCATCATGTTCTTGTGGTTGTTAACTGTTGTTCTAGTGTTGTGGGTAGCATTGTTCAGATACAAAAGAAGACGTATATATGAATTAGCTGCCAAGATTCCGGGCCCCGATAAGGAGCTGCCTGTAATTGGGATAGCACATATGTTAGCCGGGGATGCAGATGGTGATGTATTTTGCAAACGTGTATACTTATTTGTTACCTTTCTTTGTATAATTTCATAGCTATTGCCTTATTCATAATACAATTAGATTTTGTTTGTGTGTTCGTATGTTTGTGGATTAATTGAACATAAATAAAGGTGAACTGGAATGATCTGGAAAGAAAAGAGCTACATTTACTATGATAAAAATATGTTATTCAAACTTTAATGAGGCATTATCATAAACTAATATATAAACGGCTAAAACACTCACTTATATTCGTCCGGTATCGGCACCGATTAGTTTCGAGCCCATCAGTGAGTGGAACTGACTGAGTGGGATCATGGTGACTGGACCAGTCTTTCTCAGCCTAATAGCGGCCCGGACTCATCGCACGAACATACGTGTGTGTTTTAGCCATTTCTATATTAGTTTATAAAAAAGTCTCGGTGCCTAAAACGATAATAAAACATAATCTCGGCATGTTTATGTTATGATTAATTTATATACCTTAAAAATACTGAAATTTTCACATGGGATAGGATTAATAAGTATATGTACATAAATATGATAGCTATTAACCTACTTGGACGGAAGAGCTGGCAGCTACCTCGGACAAAGAATTAGTATAGCTATTCAAAGGGGGAACGCTGCCAGTATCTTCGGAACCTTACCTAAAGGGACACCTTTTAATAATATTCGTTTTTAATATTTTATTTCATATCATAGATTTAAATCTTTTCATATGTACTTAAATTGGTATACTTTGATGTGTTAACAAACAACATTAACCTTGCACAATTATTGTTATTTCTGGAAATGAAAAAAAAAGGTATTTTGCTCTAATAACATATTTATATAAGTTCAATTTTTGTATATGTTTTATTTTGTGTACTCATATTGTTATTATGTTTTTAGACGTTATGAATACTTTACAAGAATTAAGTTATTCGGCAATGAAGCATGATGGAATACTACGCTGCTGGGTTGGACATATTTTATACTTTGGTAAGTGATGAGCGTATAGAATTTAATGCCAATAATTAACAATAATGGTTAAACGAAAGGATATACGATATCTTGGTTGTGGGTTCGAATCCCATTGGACTGACTATTATAATTGTTGTAAAACAAGCCAAGCGATTAGTTGTCTTATTTAAAATAATTTGCTGTTAAAGTGTTTATTAGGCTTCTACAAGTAGGTATTTTGATTTGCTTTAATCACTGATTTTTTTTTAATAGTTGTTTTAGACCCAGTCGATTTGGAAGTTCTGCTGAAGTCTTGCTTAGAAAAGGACGATCTTCATCGTTTTGTAAGAAAAGTTATTGGATATGGTGGAATATTTGCACCAGGTATGATTCTAAATTGTTAAGACATGACAAAAATGTAAAGGCAAGGTTTTTACGATCTGGCATTTAAATTTTCCTTTCTGTTTTTACTCACCTTCAAAAAAGTAGGGGTTCTAAATTCGCCTTTATATTTAATTTTTGTTGCTTCGCGACTCCCCTCCTCCTTGTTGACCGATTTTTATAAGTCTTCTTTATTCGAATTCGCGTCCGAAAAATGTAATGTAAGCACGCCTGCGTAGAAAGTTCTCGCAACGACGACAAATTAGTTCGTTACTATTTTATAATTAAACCGGTATTGATAATTATGTCTTTGTTTTGATTTTAATATACATATCTCAGAATATAAATGTCACTAATCTGCCTTGACTTACTCCGACTTTGAAATAAGAATATTGTACAACTAGCTATCACCCGCTACTCCGTCCGTGCGGAATAAAAGAAAATTTTATTAGAAGCATGTGTTATTCCAGTTTAGGTTCTACATCAGCAACAAATTTCATCAAGATCCGTTGTGCCGTTTCTACGATAGTTCCAAGATTAGTAACATACAGATATAATACAAGAACGACGAGTGTTTTGTTTTTCGAGGGCATTCACGATGTTATTTTGTTACTTTTTAATGCATTTTCTTTGAGAATATTTTGTTTTGAAGTAGATATTCTTTTGTTTTTTAAATTTTTGTTTTTGTTTCTTAGTATCAATATGGAGAAGGCGCCGTAAGATTTTAGTGCCGGCCTTCAGTCCGAAAATTGTAGAGAATTTTGTTGAGATATTTTCTCAACAAAGCGAGAAGTTGGCATCGAAGCTTACTAATTATGCCAACAAAGGTCCTGTCAAGTTGTGGAATTTCGTAAGCACATATACATTGGACTCTGTGGGTGGTAAGTTTAAATATTTAATAATTATGCGGTGATGAAAAATAATTATTACTTTTTCTCGTGATAACAATTTGGCTTTTTTTGTGATTGCACTAATGATCGCAAAATGTTTTAAACATCTTAAAAAACAACTTAAAGCAATTCTTAAGAGCGTCTGTATAGTTCAATTCAAATTTCTGATTTAAGAAACACACATTTCGGATGTGAATAAAATGTAGCCCTGCTGAGACGAAGGTTACAACCTACTTTAATTCAAGTTTATTCAAAGGTGTTGTTACCTCTAATTGATGATTATAATGTGAATTAGAGGTAACAACACATTCAATTGTTTTTTTTTTTCCTGAAAGCGAAGGAAAAAGTTACACAAAGCGATTGTTACATTGTTTATACGTGTAAAAATATTTCTTGTACTATTATATTAGTGTCATCTACATGACAATGGTAATAGACAGAAGCAATCATGTTAATTATGAAATTGGTATTAAAAATGTTCTTGTAATTTTTTTTCTAATCGATTATTTCTTGATAACGCTGTTACTGTGTGTCTATTTAAGATAGTTTAGTTTCATAAATGACGCCTATGAAGTATTAAATTAAATTTGTATGACGCTTAATGTTGTACTTAATGGACGGTTGCCATAGTGTCGGACCGTACACGAACAACGAACAACTATGAACTATCGAACAGCTATAAACACCCATCCTTTCCTTATCAGAAAAAGGGTGAGAAGTGAAAAAGGCCTAAAATTAGGACACACACTTATCAGACGAAACGTGGTATTGCACAGGACGAACCGGCCAATTCGTGCGAAGGTGTTAAAGCAGGCTTTATCACTGTTAAACATATGCCTATAAATACAACAGCTACTAATGTACAAAATACATTACCTAATTTAAAATAAATCCATAGACAAATTATATAATTATGATTTCTCATTACCATTGAATTCGACCATAAATACAGGTTACATCACGATGTGTTTTCAATGTTAGAACGTGGGACAAATTGAACGAAAATGGCATCTTTTAAAATTTGTTTTTCAGTGGAAAACGTTTGTCAATGTAGATATTCCATGTCGTTTAAACTATAAATTAAACTGCAATTTAAAGAACGTTAACCTTTTCATTGTTTTGGTTTGGCCGTGACTGATGACTTACAAAGTAAACGCAGTGTTTTAATGATATTCCGTTTGAATAAACTACTATTTCTTTATTTTTCTATCTCAAATTGACCTTTAAATGTTGATGCATTGTTCTTTATTTTTTGCATAAAAGAATACGAATTATTGGTATGAAAAGGTTTTTTGGAAATATAAATTTAAGTGGTTGTTCTGAGGTGAAAAAATTTGGTTAAGTTATTTTTTTTTCTTTTACAGAGACTGCAATGGGCGTTAAAATCAACGCTCAAGATAATAATGACACACCGTTCTTACAATCAATGCAAATTATTTTACATTTAGTATGCGAAAGAATATTTCACTTGTGGTTGCAACCAGATTGGCTTTATAAATTATTTCCACGATCCGTGGCACATGAAAAGAATTTAAAGGTTATGCATGATTTCACCAACGAGGTAAAGTACCATATTATATTTATTATCTATCATCATCACTATACGGCCCCCCGAGGGGTTCGGAACCTATCCTAAGTTATGGGTGATTAGGCCATAGTCAACCACGCTGGCCCAGTGCGGGTTGGTTGACTTCACACATATCATATCACTTATTATCCATAGTACGTTTAATTCGTTAATCAAATATATTAATTAAAAATGTTATAAAGTAAGTTTATTACAATCGTAACAAACTTGCATTTGTTCTTAGTTTTTGACAAATAATTTACCTCCGATTTCGGAAAACTGTTAAATTAAGGTACAATATAAATGGTCGTTACAATAATTTCTCATTCCTAATATTTCAGGTAATATCAAAGAAGCGAGAGGAACTAAAACTAGAAAACAACCGCAAGTCAGAAGTTGATCACGATTTCGGTAATTATATCTCTATAACAAAAATGTATAATTAAACTTTCTACCTCATATTGAGACAGAGACAAAAATAGTTTATTATTCTTCGTCTTTTTGATGATTGCAAGTTTGAAGTTTAATAAAATTAGTATTAGTTTCCACCTGGATGTATCTTCGAACGCACACAGTATGCCAAATAAACTAGTTTTAAATGAAATCATAACTTTCAGACATAGGTAGTTATCAAAAGCAGACTTTCCTCGACCTGTTAGTCCGTTTGTCCGGCGGCGAGCACGGCTACAACAACGTGGAGCTGCGTGAGGAGATACTTACATTGTTGGTGGCGGGCACAGACACCTCCGCCGTGGGGCTCGGCTATACAGTCAAACTGCTAGCGATGTATCCAAAAGTGCAGGACAAAGTATACGAAGAGTAAGTTACTATTTGGAATAACCATTCCTCCTTATTTCGTCATTAGCTCAATACTTTCCCGATTTATTGATTTAAGATTTTTTTATTCTAACGACTCACCCGCAATAGCCAGAGGCGGACTTGGCGGTCTTCTAGCCTCATAGGCAGACAGATATTCGGTGAACTCTTCAAAATCACTCTTGTTTTTCTCGTCTAATGCTCTAAATGCAATACTTTGCAATAAAACGTTCTCACATTTGAACACTTTTTAAAAAGCACCCGTGCGAATGAAGACTTACAGAACGTATTTATCGCGAAGCCATTTTTTCCGGCTTTTTATTCAGAATAAAAATCTTTTTTCATCCAAGTTTTTCACTCCGTGTAATCTTTTCTGTACGGGTCCTATAATTTGATTTTATTCCATAATATTTTTTTTAAGATTGCAGGAAGTATTTGGCGATTCTGACCGACCATTGCTTAAGGAAGATCTGATGAAATTGAAATACTTGGAAAGAGTTGTGAAGGAATCACTACGATTATTCCCGCCAGTGCCGTTCATAATCAGAAAAGTTCTAGAGGATGTTACTTTACGTAAGTATTTAAAATGTGTAACTTCACGTAAAATTTATAATTAATAAATTGTATTACTACACTAACGATGTCTCTTAGTGCAGATTCAGTAAGAAAGAATACACTAGGAGTGTCAAATATTTCTGTGGGTAATGCTTAAACTTTATGGAGAAAGTCCTGACTAACCTAAAACTATCACTAGCATTGGCGGCAACAATAACTATAATTTTTTTGTCACATGTGCGTTGTGTATTGAGATTAATAAGTGTACTTTATTTTCCATAATATAATCTATATAAGTTCTTATTATTTTCGATTTATTTAGCTTCAGGTAGAGTGCTTCCTGCCGGGTCAGGCGCAGCGGTCAGTATCTGGGGCTTGCATCGCGATCCCAAGTACTGGGGCCCGGACGCCGAGGTCTTTGACCCCGACAGGTTCCTGCCGGAGAGGTTCAACCTCAAGCACGCCTGCTCCTACATGCCTTTCAGTAGTGGACCTCGCAATTGTCTCGGTAATGAAAATCGCATGTACTATATTTTTTTCCAGTATTAGTATTTGTTGAAATATGGCTAAAGAGACTTTGGACAACCTAGCAACCTTTATAATATTGATACTTTCGACACTTGACAGTTGACTTCGACTCCATCTGTGTTGGTATTTATTTTTGATAATAAAGATTTATTCATTTATTACTTATTTATAATATTTAATGATATGTTTCAGGTTACCAATATGCTTTAATGTCAATGAAGACAGCGCTGTCGGCGATAGTGAGACGCTACAAGATTGTCGGGGAACAGGAGTCCGGCCCTGTTCCACATATAAAGTCCAAAATCAACATTATGATGAAAGCTGTAGATGATTATAAGATTAGTTTAGAAAAAAGAGTTACTGAATGATTATATGAACAATTAAACAATTACACAATATTTGGAGTGACGGCGTAATATTTTAATTGAAATCTTTTAATCTTTTAATGAATTTCATTTAATAGACAAACTAACATTGCGTTAATATAGATAGACTTACCGTTGGTTTTCAAGAGATAAATCTCTGTATTAAACATATTGTAATCCTTGTCATTACCAAAATAGAGAAAACAATATGTTTTAAAGGGAGATTTTTGTCTCAGAAACTCACGGTTAATCTTTTTATATGTTTATTTATAACTTAGATTAATAAGTGTACTATTAGTGTAACATTGTATGTGAAAAGCGTGAAGTAGAGTATTTTACGTATCCCTTTGTGATTGACGGTAATCCAATTCTAGGTGGTCTCCTCTTTTTCCTAATAAGAAAAAGACGGAAAGAGAAATGAATTTGGCGGATGAGGGGATATGTTTGAAAAAGAAACACCCTTTATCTGATCATCTTAACCGTAATTCAGTAAAAGAAGGAAATTTATACCAAAAACAATTAAAACGTAAACGCTAAGGTGCACCTAGGAATGTTCTGGTTTAAGTTTGTGCATAAATTATACCTTAGTTTACCTGTAGAAGTTAGGAGGCTCTATTGTTATCTGTTTTTTTTAAGAATGAGATGGATGACAAAATACTTTTATCAGACAGCGAAAATCCACGAGTTCAATCTCGTAACATAACATTTTTTTTACAGAAAAAGCGTTGTTACCCAGAAGACTACATAACCATTTATAGTTTTATAATTGAAACTTTGAATAAAATGTTATGTAAGTGTTTTTATTGAATAAAAAATCATACTTCTGCCTTTTTGGTGTTTTACTCAGCTGAAAAAAATAAAAAGGATTAATTATTACATATTAATTAAAAGTTATTGTTATTATAATGAGTAAAAAAGAATTTTTAAATATTTAAGATATAATACTTGATTTTTTTAACAAATAAAAAAATAGTGTATAGACATTTTCTTTCATAACGGCCAACGGTCGTAGCCGATGACTGCACCACCAATATATAAAATACTAGCTGTCGCCTGCGACTCCGTCCGCGCGGAATTAAAAAAAAATAATAAGTAGCCTGTTTGTAGCATGTTTTCTTCCAAATGATGTATTCCAATTTCTATATCTGTGCCAATTTTCAGCGAGAAATGTTGAGCTGTTCCAGGGATACTTTCAAATAAATATCCATCCACCCATACATCTAAACATTCGCATTTATAATATTATTAAATGTCGATATACATTTATTTATCATATTTCTAATATAATACATTTCATATCCATAAAAAAATAAAAATATACAAAACATATTATTAAAAACAGAACACCACCGGCTGCGGAATCCCATGACTCAAACAACCAGTGGTCAGGGCTGCAGAGACAGGATTATTAAATGTATTAGTAAAATACGAATAGTAGTCGGTGTTAATTTTATACACTAATGTAATAAGTGTATGCAATTTTTAGTTCAAAAAACAACTAATACACCTTTTTAAAGTCATGATTCTCAAAATTTGTCATGAGCTATTTTTTCTTAGAAAATTTTCGTCGTTAATAAATCTTTTGTTTAAAATACAACGTTGTGCGAGAGTGACACAAAATATGAGAGTGAAATTTCTGTTCCAACAAAATGTGTTCAACAATAATACTGCTACAAGGTCCAAATCGGAATTCAAGTAGTTTGAGTACATGTGTTGTATAATATTTAACTACGTCTATTTACCATTACTTTGTACTTAAAAAAATAATAATTACTTGATTAATTGAGTTAATAACAAATTGAATTCGAAAATAATTTTGAATTGAAAATAAATTTGTTTGGGGTAACGCTAGCTGATTGACCGTTGGTTTCTGAGACCAACCTCTATGTATAAACCATATCGTACTCCCTGTCATTATCTTTAACAATATGTTTTAAACAGGGATTTGGCCTCAGAAACTCACGGTAAATGAGATATAACTGGGACAGTTTGAGAAACGTGGACTAATGTAATTTCAAGTTCAATAAAGTAATAACAAATTATGCCTTCTCAGTATAAATGTCATGTTAATAACGCCATAAAATATAAGCTCGTTTTATTTTCGCATAAAAGAATTTATATAAGACCACTACAATTTTACCTAGACGACTCATTCAAGTGTACAACCTACGTGGGTTTGGTGTGGTATATAATATTTAAAATGTTTTTATGTCTCTTGTGCCTTAGTGTAGTGCTAGGTATGGTATTATTCAAATTAAAAAGAAGACGATTGTATAGATTAGCTTCAAAGATACCCGGCTCGGACGATGAACTGCCATTTATTGGTCTCGCACATAAATTTACTGGGACTACTGAAGGTTTGCACTATTTCCAGTTCTACAATGGTCGTACTGTTTTTATTTATCTTTTAAAAATCATTAATAGATATTTTGCATTTTTGTGTAAAATCGGCAACCTGATTTTGCTAAAAAAAGCTAAGTGACCGCTGTCTAGACTTATCTGTGAAAAGTAAACAGACAAATATATTGCCCATCCTTAAAATAGAGGTAGGGACTTACAAAAGAGGATACATCTCCCTGTATATTTCACCTCCGTCAAATTCACCTTCCCATACTTTCCTATTAGGAAAATGGTGGAAAGGAGATGAGGGAATTTGACATTCGGAAGTAAAGTGATAAAACGGGGAGGAGGAGAGCTAACTAATAAACTCTGTACAGCCACTCCAGTCTGTTAATTTATATATATTTACTTGCTTTGTTTATATGCCTTTAATAATTAAGAGTATAAACTCTTAAGTAATATAAATAATTAATATAGTAATAGTTTAAATTAAAACCAACAATGTCATTTATTGTTTTCAGATATATTGAATAGTTTACAAAAGTATAGTTACGAGGCAATGAAAAATAACGGAATTCTTCGAGGTTGGCTCGGTCATATTCTTTACTTCAGTAAGTTGTATATTATATGATTAAAAATGAAATAGGTAAGAAATAAAATCAGACGTATACAATGTGTTAACATAGTTAATGACTTTATTTGATATCTTCAGATGTTCAATTTACTATGGTACGATGATTTATAGTCTTAAAAAATGTATTATACAATTTATGTATGTTGTTTCAGTTGTTGTTGATCCAGTGGATGTAGAGGTAATACTAAAGACTAGCTTAGAGAAAGATGACCTGCATCGATTTATTAGAAATGTAATTGGAAACGGCTTAATATTTGCACCAGGTATATTATATTTTACATTAAATTTAATTACTAGTTTTCATTAAGTGTATGAATTGGGTAAAAAAATATCGAAAGCTACGACTTCGTCTATGAATTGGTTCTTAGTTAAAAGAGGTGACTAGAGTTAATATTATATTTTTCACGAGTGCAAAGGGGCTATACCAAGTGTTTTCGCTTCGAAGTGATTGTCGCTCGATTCGTATTACCCGCCCTCTGACCACTATTAATATAAGTACGGGCATATTCTCCAAAAGATCCGGTGTCATGTATTATAAAAGTTGTGCTTCTAGATTTCTTAATACTATAACATGTATGTAACTAAATTATTTTTAAGTAATTAACTACTGTGATAGTCTGTTCAAATTGCTTCATCACTTTAATTATTCTTACCAGTTTCTATATGGAGGAGACGACGAAAGATCACGGTGCCGGCTTTTAGTCCTAAAATAGTAGACACCTTCATGGAAGTATTTGCGGAACAAAGCGAGAAGTTGGTTTCAGTACTTGCTGCATGCGCGGGTAATGATTACATCGCCATGGAACCTTACCTTTGTAGGTATACTCTTGACTCTGTTTGTGGTGAGTAGAAACAAAAACAAATCTTTCTTTATGTAATGTTTATACAGCTTGGTTGTCAAGCTATTTTTATGGATACTTTTAACTTTATTTTTTTTATAGAAACTACAATGGGAATAACAACAAACGCTCAAAATAATCCTAATGCACCATATCTAAAAGCATTGAAAAATATACTTAATTTGGTTTGTGAAAGAATTTTCCATCTGTGGCTACAACCTGATTGGCTGTACAAGTTCTTTTCGCAGTCCAAGTCACATCAGAAATATACAAAGGAAATGCAAGGTTTTGTAGATGAAGTAAGTTTAATATTCCTAAAGGTAAAAACGTTTTAAATTTAAATGTTTAAATATTTGAGTCACCTTCATAAACGGTTGTTGAAGTTTTATTAGACGTCACATTCCTAGATTAGTGTTGAAAATTTATTTATTTATTTAAAAACTGCATAGCATCATTACAGTATACAACCAATTTGACACTATACACACTTTACATAACAGTTTACACGATAACATATTTTATAATAACATATAATATAACAATGATAAATAAAAAGAAAAAAATACATAGATAAACAGTGCAAGAATATATCAACGCGTAACTAAACATCAATATTCAAACGTCTTCCACACATCTGTACGCAGCCTCTGTAAAATATTAATTAAACTAAGTAAAGAATCATTTTTTTTAATATTTACATTCAATTTTTTATTTCATTAGGTTATTCAAAATAAAAGGAGAGAAATCAAGAAAGAAAAGGATTTGAAATCAGAAGTAGATCGTAATTTTGGTGAGTAACGTATAAAACAAAGGAAACGTATAAATTATTTGAACGGTTATTGAATATTTATAATTTTCCAGGTTTAAGTAATTACAAGACTCAGTCGTTCCTCGATCTTTTGATAGAATTTTCTGGTGGTGAAAATGGTTACACTGATCTGGAGTTAAGAGAGGAAATATTGACACTAACAATAGCCGGCACTGATACGACGGGTGTGTCAATTGGGTACACTTTGAAGTTGCTAGCGATGTATCCAAAAGTTCAAGACAAGTTATATCAAGAGTAAGTCGCACTGGATCTTAAATTTATCAAATTTTGTTTGGATCTAGATCAAACCATGTTTCAAGAAGAGATAGAGTAGATTGAGACAAAACATAATTATAGGTATTAATAACTATAACCAAAATCTGGATGACCGTATTTTTTTTTAAATTGTGTTTTTTGGAAATTATATTTAACTACGAATTACTAGTAAAATTACTAATAAATACTTCATCATTTTAAATATTCATTTAAAATGATGAAATATGAATAATATTTTTCGATCTTACCGATAGAAAAAGTTAAGTTTATGTTTAAGTTGATTATCGATAAAACACGAATAAAATTACATTTTCTAAAAATGATTCCTAGCTAGATCGATTTATCGCCCACGAAACCCCTATATACTAAATTTTATGAAAATCGTTGGAGCCGATTCCGAGATTCCAATTATATGTATACAAGAATTGCTCATTTAAAGATATAAGATTCATACAATCCGATTAAAAACCGTAAAATCCAATTATTTTTTAGATTACTAGATGTTTTTGGAACTTCCGATCGAAGAATAGTTAAAGAGGACTTGTCAAAGTTAAAATATTTGGAACGTATTGTGAAAGAGTCTCTACGGTTATATCCACCAGGTCCATTCATCATTCGAAAGGTTTTAGAAGACATTTCCTTACGTAAGTTAATTATAAAATAGACTACTTTCACTTACATTTTCTTTTCTATACAGCTAACATTATTAATTAATTAATATGTACGTTTCGTAATTCTTCACCAGCGTCGGGAAGAGTTTTTCCAGCTGGATCAGGCGCGGCGGTCAGTATCTGGGGCTTGCATCGTGACCCCAAGTACTGGGGCCCAGACGCCGAGGTCTTTGACCCCGACAGATTCCTGCCGGAGAGGTTTAACCTAAAGCATGCCTGCTCCTACATACCGTTCAGCAGTGGACCTCGTAATTGTATTGGTACCGTAGTTTCCATATATATTTCTTCTAACAACCAAGGGAAGAGTCTCTTGTTCTTCTCTATACTATAAACTTGAGACACTGTACTTCACATTGGTCTAGATTTTAATACACACTAACTAATTAAATGAACTTAAATAAGGTTGGCTATATGTTTATTAAGCTTTTGGAACAGATGTTCGCGGATATTTCTATTAGTGTCAGCGAGGCTAAGGAAAGATGGGTGTGTGTTGTAAAGTTGCGGTAATGCGGCAAGCATTATGAATCATCATCATCATCAGCTCACTATACGTCCCCACCGAGGGGCTCGGAGCCTACCCTAAGTTAAGGGTGATTAGGCCATAGCATTATGAATACGGCGACGAATTTCTTTTTTAATTCCGCGCGGACGAATTGTATTTAAAATAATACGTGATGTGTTGCAGGTTATCAATACGCGTTAATGTCTATGAAGACAGTGTTGTCGGCGATAGTGAGGCGCTACAAGATTATGGGAGAAGAGTCCGGCCCTGTTCCACATATAAAGTCCAAAATTGACATCATGATGAAAGCTGTCGATGATTATAAAATTTGTTTAGAGAAAAGATTTAAATAAAAAGAAATGAAAGGAATGAATGAAATTACATGCATTGAAAACATATTTATTTAAAACACAATGATAGTTATTCTAAATTAATAAACTTATATATATGGAGAAAAAAAACCTTGCATTTTGTTTATATCGTTGAACCTTTTTGAACCTTAGGTTACTTTTGTCAATTACATGCTACGTGGAGTAGAGTATAGAATATTCTGCTTCACGCAGCACGAGTAAGTTGCCAATTCCATGACCTATTTCTAGTCCTTTATTACAATTTTTAGTGTATCTGAATTTGAAGATTTGATTTAAAAAAAATTCTCAATATTTTTAGCTCTTTAAAACTACGTATTATTTCGGCTGTGTACACAATTTGTATGTTTTAAAATATAAATAAAGAGTATTATTTTATCCTTTGGTATTTCATTCAGATGTAAAGTGAAATATTTTTAGGTATTTTGTCGTTTCCGGCTTTGTGGTACAGTAGTTTTCTTTTATTTTTGTAACTGAATTCAATCGTTATGAAATTAATATTCAATTTATTAAGGTTAATTTAAAACCTAACTAAACAGTAAAAAACAAAAAAAAACACTTTGTATTATTAATAACTTCCCCTATAACTTAGTACATCTACAAAATAGCTATTTAAAAAAAGAAGTAGGTAATTGAGTTTGCCATTGAATCTCGACTATCTTATTGCCATAATTCTCCTGAAAAAATAAAGAGAACATTTTTTTTAATTTAATAAGCCAACGCTTCAGCACGATCCTACCTGATGTTAAGTGATGATGTGGTTGAATGATATTGGTTCCTTGTACACATGTTGCCTCATTAAAAGTTCACGGTGAGCATTTGCCTACAATCTGAGGGTTACATAGTAACCTATAAATTAACCATTAAAAGCGATTTATCTCCTATGTTGTTTAAAAAAACATTCAGAATGATATAACGTACTATGGCTAGTCATAATGTTTCTATGGTAATTTAAATGGACTTTACGTTCAAATTTATCTTTAGTACTTTTTCTCCTTGATGGAATATACGCCAGCAACAACATTGTTGAACGAATGGCAGAAGACAGGCGTGAAGTGGAAATAATTCCGCGTTTCATCTGATGAGTACTAGTAATATTATAAATGCGAAAGTTTGGATGGTTGTTTGTGACAGAGTTCAACGGATCTTAATGAAATTTGGCACAGATATAGAACATAGTCTGGAAGAATACATAGGCTACTAATTAAGTTTTTTTCAGTTCCGCAGGGATGTATGTAGTCATAGGCGACGGCTATTATACAATAGCATCAATGTGTACAAGAATTTTATATCACATAACATCACCTGTGATACATTGTTTCTGTTGTGTTTCTCAAATTGCACACATCAAGTCTTTATTACATTAGGATTTAAGTTATCGCCGAAATTGGGTTTATTACTTTAATGGATTGCCATTAAATGTTAGTGGTTTACGTTACTTAATTAAAAAAGTCAAAATAATAAGAATGTTAAAAGTTTAATCAATATTTGTACACTTAAATAATTTTTCTTTTTTTTCTTGCTAATATATTTTTTGTCAGTTTCTTTCGATTGCTTCAAACTAAGTAAAAGGAGTTACTGAAGTGCTCTATTTAATTTATTATTTTACTCTGAAACAGAAAGGCGCGAAAAGAGATCGCAGAAGCAAACAGCTACACAGTTTGAAAAACCCAGATGAAGGTTTTTTTTAATTACTTTAATATAATAACAAATTGCCACTTCGCAGTATAAGGGTCTTTGTACACTGCGCTACAGAAATACACAGCTATTTTAGTCACTAAGCGACTTATGCAATAAATTCTCATAGAGATTTGTACACAGGTACGCGTAGCCAACATTTTGTTCTTTCGTCGCCTAAACAAGTGGCTCGCTATCTGTTTGTCAAGATCGTCACGAAAAAGTCGCGGCGATTTTCAAAACGGCAGAGCAAATTTATACAGTAGACATATTGTGAATTCGTGTCAGCTATGTAGTTACTTTGCCTATACTAAACGAATAGCCAACTCGTGTCAACAATTCAATATTTTGTGTACAGATCGCGCGCTACATAATACTTGCGACAAAGATATCGTGCAATAGTATTTAAGATACAAGTGTACAAAGGGCCTAAACGTAAAAACCTTATTTAATATAACAAAATTGCTAGTTTTACATAGAGGGTATTATATAAGACGAATATAATTTTCCTTGGATGATATATTCAAATATAGCAGTTGTACTACGTGTATTAGGTTTTCTATTATATTTACAATGTTTTTATATCTTTTGTGCCTCGGTGTGGTGCTGGGTATTGCACTATTCAGATTTAAAAGAAGACGAATGCATAAATTAGCTTCAGAGATTCCCGGGTCCGACGATGAACTGCCGTTCATTGGTGTCGCCCATAAATTTATTGGGAATACTGAAGGTGTGTACTATTTTCATTATTAGCCACATAAAATGTTACAGTACTAAGCTAGTACACCCAAGGTTTGTAGTTTAACTTAAGGCACTTGCCAAATAATGATGAAAACAACCAGGGTCGTGTTATCTATAGACGGCACCTGAGTATGAAAACCAGTCTGGCGCCCCTTAAAGTAGTATTTACCAGGGCGCCAGACTCGGGCGCCCCGCAATTTAAGGTAATAACAGTCCTGTAAACAAATATTATAGTTTAAGATTTAGCGGAGCGTTGCGGGAATGGGGGGAGGGCACTGCGTATCGAACCTTTGGCCGCCAAGATATATGAAAAGGATAATATATCTATGTTATAAATAATATAATTGAAATCACAATTTACTTCTCGTAATGGTTCCAGATGTATTGAACAGTTTACAGAAGTATAGTTACGAGGCAATGAAAAAGAATGGAATTCTTCGAGGTGGGATTGGCCATCTTTTTTATTTCGGTATGTAAACTAATTATGAAATTCAGGTAAGGACTATAAGTTAGATATTTATTTAATAGTTCATGTGATCTATTTCTAATGTTATTCGATATTTGTATATCTATTTAAAAGTGTTTATTGACAAATTATTTAGTTAATTGTTGATGTATGATTGGTTGTGGTAATCTTAAGACTCATAATATAACAATTTAATTAATGTACGCCATGTTTCAGTTGTTGTGGACCCAATTGATTCAGAGGTAATATTAAAGAATTGCTTAGAGACAGACAACCAGCATAGATTCTTTAAAAATGCTATTGGTAATGGCGGAATATACGCACCATGTAAGTGGTGTTAAAATTGTTTTTTTTTTCTTTTGAATATTGACAACTTAATTCATGTTAGAACACAAACTATCTTTATTAGTGCCTATATGGAGAAGACGACGAAAGATCATGGTGCCGGCTTTCAGTCCTAAAATAGTAGATACCTTCATGGAAGTATTTTCGGAACAAAGTGAGAAGTTGGTTTCAATGATTGCTGAATGTGCGGGTAAAGGTGACATCATCATGGGGCCTTTTCTTTGCAGATATACTCTTGACGCTATTTGTGGTTAGTAGTAACAAAAAGGGATTTCGAGTTCTTTTTTACTCTCATCTCCTCTTTTGGTTTTTTATTCATTGCCATTAAATCTTAGTGGTTTTCGTTATTTAATTAAAAATGTGACCTTTGACTTGTCTGAGGTATTTAATAGATATTTTTGATTTTAATATTTTTTTTCTTGTAACAGGGACTACGATGGGAATAAAATTAAACGCCCAAAATAATCCTGATAATCTATTTTTAATCGCATTGAAAAATGTACTTATTATTATTTGTAAAAGATTTTTTCATCTATGGCTACAACCAGAATGGTTGTACAAGTTCTTCCCTCAGTACACAGAGGAAAAGAAATATTTAAAGGAAATGCACGATTTTATAGATGGGGTAAGTTTAACATATTTAGCGTTTTTAATATTATAATTTGCATTAAAAATACATGAAACATATAAAGTTTTTAAAGGATAGCATTTGCTTTTAGTGAACAAATGCTCTATGTATGCATATAATTGTGTCAGGCGCCTATGGACATCATTCTGCAAGAATTTTCCTTTGTTTAATCTCCTTTAATACTCTTGAGATGGTCGTAAAAAATTTATGACGTAGTCAAAAGGTTTTGTATCCAAATGTTTAAATATTCTTTTATTTCACTTAAAGGTAATACAAAAGAAGAGGGAAGAAATCAATAAAGAAAAATATCTGAAATCAGAAGTAGATCGTAATTTTGGTAAGACAGGAAACAGTGGGAAGTTATAAACTATTTTGAACCTGAAATCAATATAACTAAATTTTTAGATTTATGTCATTACAAAACTCGGTCGTTCCTCGAACTTTTGATACAATTTTCTGGCGGTGAAAATGGTTACACTGATCTAGAGCTAAGAGAGGAAATAATGACGTTAACAATAGCCGGCACTGATACGACGGGTGTGTCAATTGGGTACACTTTGAAGTTGTTAGCGATGTATCCAAAAGTTCAAGACAAGTTATATCAAGAGTAAGTCACACTGGATTTACCAAAATTGTGAAAACATTGAGCGAGAAAAAAACGTTAAAGAAAATTTATAAACAAACGACTATATTTAAATATATAAACTAAATATTTACTATCTTTTTCCCTTTGACATATATTTTAAAGCGTTTATATTGCGATAATTATTTTTCAGATTATTAGATATTTTCGGAAATTCCGAAAGATCAATAGTTAAAGAGGACTTGTCCAAGTTAAAGTATTTAGAACGTATTGTGAAAGAGTCGCTAAGGTTATTTCCACCAGGGCCATTTATTATTCGAAAAATTTCAGAAGATATTTACTTACGTAAGTATTAAATAGCAAATTCTCACATACTCCTATTTCATGTTCATTTTTGACAAGAATTAACTTTTAAAATAATACGTACTCATCTATGTTTCGATATACTAAACAGCGTCAGGAAGAACTCTACCGGCCGGGTTCGGTGCAATTGTCAGTGCTTGGGGTATGCACCGCGACCCTAAGTACTGGGGCCCGGACGCTGAAGTTTTTGACCCTGACAGGTTCCTGCCGGAGAGGTTCAACCTCAAGCATACCTGCTCTTACATGCCTTTCAGCAGTGGACCTCGAAGTTGTGTCGGTACTGTAATTCACATATGTTTGTCTTGAGATAATGATTTGATAAGATAAGATTAAAGAGAATTTTATGTAATGGGGCAATAAACACCGGAGGAATACGTCCTTTGTACTTCTCTATAATATTAATGTAACACTCTACACTTTAATATAGTCTATGGGTAAAGGTTGGAGTTGACTCCAATTAGCTAATTGCCATGACAGCAATGTAAATAGATCTTAAAAATGATATATGTCATGATTACCTATTTAATTTTAAAAGTAAAATATGATGTTTTTGTTTCAGGTTACCAATATGCTTTAATGTCAATGAAGACAGCGCTGTCGGCGATAGTGAGGCGCTACAAGATTATGGGAGAAGAGTCCGGTCCTGTTCCACATATAAAGTCCAAATTTGAAATCATGATGAAAGCTGTAGATGATTATAAAATTTGTTTAGAGAAAAGAATTTCTATTTAATCTGAAGATTTTAAATAAAACAACATAAGATTTTGATCTAATTAGATATACCTACAAATATTGAATACATTAACATCCGGTTTATATGGTTACAATTTATCTAAAGTGAAATTGGAATTAGAATCTATTTCTAGTGTATATTAGCTACTTGCATTAATTGATTGAAATATTAAATGTATCTTGTTTAAAATAGCCTTAGTTCTCATTATTTTATAGAAGTAGATGCACGTATTTATTAGCCATAAAACATAATTATACAACTAACTTTATTACCTGATATATATAAAAGTTACAATATCGTTACCACTTCAACGAATAAGATTGCTAAAGTAGAAAACATAACAGTAGGTTTCCACACTAGTTAAACTTTTACATTGTTCCAAAGAAGATAATCAAGACGATATTTTTTTCTATTAACTGTTTAAGTATTGTAAACAAATATTATAAATGCGAATGTTTGCATAGATGGATGAATGGATGTTTGTTTAAAAGTATCTCCAGAACGGCTGAACGGATCTTGATGAAATTTGGCATACATATAAGCAGGAACATAATAATGTTTTTTTATTCTGCACGGACGGAGTCGCGGGCGACATCTAGTATAAATGTTTGTATATTACTGTACAGTACAATAAAAATATTTAAATTCAAAAATAATATAGTAGAATCTTTTTAGAGACGTAGAATAAACCAGGGGGTGGAAACTTAGAAGAAGGACGGTTTGTATGGAAAGTGGCGCCACCTTTTATATAATCGTAAACATCATTTCATCTCATGGCTGAGAAGAAGCATCATTTCTGTCATCGAGACATTCATGTGTCATCAAACCGCTACGTTTTTTCGTATTTCTATTTCTGTTCTTGTATTCTTAGTTAAATGTTGTTTCATTCATTTTGTTTTTAATTAAAATGTGTTTTCGTGAAAAATGACGCCGTACGCAACTGTGTTTTAGATGGACTGATTATGGTAAGTTCCAATTCAATAAAAATTTTCATGTTATTCCCATATGTCAGACTCATTTAAACATTTAAATATTTTAATATTTTGGTGTAGTTTTTAGCACCACAGTGATTTATCCTTTCCGGTTATCATATTGAATGGTGCCCTACTTCTAATACATTTTACATATCAGTTCCTATACTTGATAGGAAATCACATTCTGTTTGTTTGTTGTAGGTGCACATATACACGGTTTCCGCCTTCCTGAGAGACGGTCAGTGATGTTCAGAAAATGTGTGCCAATCACTGGAATTATAGAGCCATAAACTGATGTGTCTGAAATTAGTAGGTGGGTCCATGTGTGTATATGTAAAAAATATATTTTTTTATTTGTAATTTTTTATTGTAAAGAAAAATTTGCTTGCCTATGTTGTAAGAGAATATGTTCAGAGTGTTTAAACTCGCAAATAACTACAAATTGCCAGTTGCCAGCTTGCATGTGACTGAAAATATTTTGGGGTTTGGTTTTAATTACAGGGTATGCATTCTTTTGTGACCGCGCTATACTATTTATTACCGTAAATGTAATTTTCAAATATATATATTAAAAATTAAAATATTGAGCTGATATCTTGAAAGTCATTGATGTATATGTACTTGCATAGATTTAAAATTAAGTTATGTAGAAATATAATAAATAATGTACAAAAATATAAAAATATTTTGTTTTTATTTCCCCAATAATAATAGGATCATTTTAATAGAGGTATTTCATAGAAGGCTACTTGATATCGGCTCACTATATTAATAACTACATAAGTGGGTATATTATTTTTGAACATTGATTTAATGTCAATTTTAACTTTATTTATTAGATTCCCACTTATTAGTTATTATTATAGTGAGCTAAATAAGCGTGCCTACGTATATAGGTACCAAAAAAAAAAAAATTAGTTCAGCGATTATACGCATGGAGCGCCACAATCGCCGTGGATCCACGACTTCGTGCGAGTTGCCCCTCTTTCTATAGTATACTTATTATACTCTTTGGAATAAACAAAAAAAGTTTTTTTTGACACTACGATTAATTTATATAAATGTCAAATTTGTCGGAAACATTGGTAAGGGAATTTGTTGTCTTGTATTTTAATATATATTTAAGAAGACAGTAGAATAAAAATAACAATTACTTTATTGTAACAAAAATATTGTCTCCTAAAATTACTTAGTAGATCACTATGTTTATTTTTATGGTTTGCCTCATCGATGCAAGTTCTATATCGGAAGGTTTGGGCAAGATCTCGTCCGTGTGATTAGCAATAGTTACCATTAATCGTGGGTTTTTGAAACTAAAATCTTTGACATGTTTGATTTTGATCCCAGAAACCTATGATAAGTTGTACGGTTCGAACCAGAGTATGGACTCTCGACAAGTTTAGGCAAAGATGATGAGTGTTTACTGGATATAACGGATAATAACTTCTCATATTGTTACTTTTACCGTGGGTTTTTGAGACCAACATTTCCGTTTAAAACATATTGTTATCTCTGTTTTGTCAAAGATAATGACAGGGAATGACGATATGTTTTATACAGAGATTTAGTCTCAGAAACACACGGTTAGTGAGTGATGTTTATGAATTTAGTACGTATTGGAAAGATTAAGCTAAATTATAGGTTGCTTCAAAAAGTAAAGCAACATCAAATTACATGACATTGACTAAATGTAATGGTGGTTATTAGACTTCCTAAGGTATAATATTAGCGGGAATATCTTACTTTGAAATAGATAAATTAATGACAAACGAAGCTTTTCCAGTTCTACTTTATTTATAAAAACAGACTTTAGGTATGTATTTATGATAAATTACTGAGCAATTTAGTTACTACTTTGTAAACGACTTCGATAATAACTAAAATCAAATGATTATAAACAATTTACTTCGGTAGTTATTTTTATAAATGTTTATACAAACTAAATATCCTCAATCCGTCACTTGACATATATTTTAATTCCAAACTGGAAAGTTTTTTCGATATTAATAATATTATAGTTACACACACATAAGTAATAATCGTTGTGGCGTGGGATAAACCATTTTAATTATGATTTTTATATTACTTAGCGAAATGACAATCAAGTAATCGATTTCTTGTTGTGGAAAGTATAATAAATAATTCAAATATTGGATTTCTTTTATTGTAAGAGTTCCCTGGGGAGTAGGGGAATGTTTATTACAGTCAGTCACGTGGGGTTGGCCGGGGGTGTCTTTGATATTGACTTGATAAGCGTGCACGGATAACTTATCGGAACTGTTCAATGTAAAAGCGCCTAGATTCGATTTGATAAGTCAAGTTTTAAACAGTGGTTATGTAGGGAAAAAACTACGACTACTTATTCAATGTGTGAAAGAATGGTATGAAAAGTGTACTGTAGTACTAAATAGTCAAATAATGCCCACTGCTAATTTTACATTTACTAAAAACTATTGAAAACACTAATAATTGATTAAACTTGAAATAATTTTAATCAATGTCCTAATAGTATGAAGTAATAAATAACAGATCCCTTAGAAAGGTTTTGGTGGCGCGTTGTTTGATCGCTTTTTACAGAAAACGGGCGTGTCACGAAAACTCTGTAATAAATCATTTCGGTATTCCGCGTGATGCCCGAATAGTTGCCGGTTGCCAGTTTGGCGGGACAGTGCAAGGCGGGCGGGCGGTCTGCGTGGTTGTTTTAAACACGTCGACTAATCCTATTTCGTAAATCATGAAGCAAGTTTCATAAATGTTTTCAATATTTTTAAATTTATCTTTATCATGATTACGTATGTTTATTTATAATTAATTGTTTTTTTCTTGTATTATTTATTTCATGCTTTATTTTTACAGATTCAATGAAAATGGAAGACGAAAATGATGAACATTTTATATTTCGATTGAACGATAACGGTTCTGGACCTAGTCTTCTTATGAAGGTATATATACTTGTTTTTGTAGGTAGCTTTGTATTTAAGGTAAAACAGAATAATAAAAATACAATGATGAAAACGCTAAATTTAAATTTACTACATCTGCTCAATCAGATCTATTTAGATATATTTATCCTTGCTATGAATTTATAGTTATTATATATAATTATACCTATAATTACATATAACTATACTATAAAATAATATATGTTTATGTTATAATGTCAACAGTTAACCTCGGCGGTTTCTCCTTACTTGATTATTAGCGACAATTAAATAAATTCACGATAGACTTTTATGAATCTTTGATTATGAAGTAATTTTACTTTTGGATGATTACAAGTTTATTTATTGACGTAATATTTCATTTAACTACTTGCCGTTCATGATAATAGTATTATTATTTTATTTCCATTGGGTTTATTAATTGCATATCGCTTAAGTTAGAAATATTACAAGTGACAACTTAACTTCGGGTTTGAATCCCGGACGGCTGGTCAGCTCTTCACATTGTTGTGAAATTTATTTCCGTTTACAGGACTTTAAACACAACTTAAACATGACATTCATATAGCCTCTTCTTATTTTGTCGATCCCATCTTAACCGGTGTCAAGTTGAACTCAATCTTTCGATATATATGAATGAAAATAGTACGAAATATTAGATTTAATATTATTTTTAATCAATTTCCTTTTACATCCATTTTATTTCCTTATGATATAACTTAATAAATATTCGATTGGTATAACTATAAGGTTTGCGCGGAGCGTGGATGGCGCATGTACCAGGGCTGCGGCGACGAGCGTTGGAATCTGTGGTGGCGGACCAGCGCCTTCCCCGCAGCCAGCTACAAGGCTCTCGGAGACTGGCAGGCAAGTCTATTTTTTTCTGACTGAAGTTACATATCACGTTACTACTAGAGTTATCATTCATAATTCTTCGCTATAGTATTTGGCATTTAATTCGGATTGAATGGCACGTGGAACAGAACGTTACTCTTGTTTTCATACGCTGTTCAGTTCGCACGTCGTTGGGTAAAAGGAAGTAAATATTTTACGATAATTTCATTTTAGATTACATACTAGGATTGTTTTGCTATTAAAAGTAAGAAAACTCATAGAATATTGTAATGGTTTATAAAAGTATAGCGATTAGTTTCCGGGCAGCTGCTGCCGTGCCCGCCGCCCATTAGTCGGCAGGCCTCGCGGAATGTGTAAGTGCCTAGCATTGACTTATGTTATTGCTATTTGAAACTCATACATCGCTCTTATGTGTTATATTGGAATGCTCTGAATGAACGTAAATGTGACGTCTTATTGGCGTTACAAATGTGCGATTGTAGGAAACAATTGCTTACTGGGATTATTGGCGCAATGGTTTTTATAACAGTTACTGTTAAAATAACCCACAATTGCATAAAGCTGGGCATTTTTAAAGAACTATAAACAGAAGAAGAGCATGCAACTACTACAAATTTTGCATGGATTAGCTAGCTCGTTTGGTTCCAATAAAATTTTAATTCTCTTTTTCCATCCATAAGGAAAATTATAGGAAGGCAAAAAAAACATTTGATTGGGCAGGGATATGTAGGTAAAAGAAATACTTTTCCGTTTATGTACCGTGTCCAAATTTGTATTACCTACTCGCTTGTGTTTTGTGATCTGTCATGTCAATACCTTATCAAAAGTTATTGCTCTCTGGTAGTCATTGATAGTTTTACTGCCGCGGCTCGTGTTTGACAAGTATTTTTATTTATGTTTATTACGATTTCAGTTTATGAACCACATTCCAAAAGGAGGATCGATATGCAGGAAGGATAGTCTGTCTCGTCTTCTGCGCTGCATGAGGAGGATATATGGATCTATTTACGACTTCAGGTAAACTATAATTAGTATATAAAAACTTTTAACAGTGGCAGAGCCCGCTTTAACATGTTCGCACGAATTGGCCCGGCTCGTCCGGTGAAATACTACGACCACACAGAAGACAAACACATATCGCTTTGACAACGGCAATGATTAGTTAAAACAACTTCTGTGCACATGTTTCATATAAGGAATATTTGTTTTTGGTTGTACAGTCGCGGTCAGATATATTGACAAGTATCTGTTCAGAAGTATTTGGTTACCTAGTTCCCTGCAATATATCTGACGGCGACTGTACTCCTACTATTTATCATACGTAGAGAAAGAAATACACAATCTTACTATGAGCGATTTTGAGCACATAATGTTAGTTCATTCATACTTATGTAAATTTGCATACCATTGGTTAAATTATAGACGTTTATGTTACGTTTTCAATTCTTCATTAATTATATTCAATAGCAATAAAATTTGATCGTAACTGATGGTAACTGCTGTAATGCAATCTGAACGCAGCTGATTATAATTTAAATAATGGTATTCGTATACCCCCGGGTATACGAATACCGTTACGAAGGACACGGCAACCCGATGTTTTTAATTTAAAGCAATAAAAATCAAAACAAATGCAAGCACGCGACCATATCGAAGACTGTAAATTGTAATTATGTTCTGAAATGGATCATTCCGCTTTTTTTTTGTGCAGAAATAATTTGTATCAGTAATCGTAAAAATCGTAAAAATTAATTTTAAAGAATGATAAACAAAATGCACAGGGTGAACGAATTAAGTTTTCTTTATTTTGTATTTTTATTAAATTCCTCTGTGTTTGGTTCTATATTGGTATTTATGGCCACATCGACCGTATTTTTGTTAGTTGGTCTTTGGTTATTTTAAATATCATCATAAGTCCCAACCTAGGGTTAGAGGTGACTAGGCTGTAGTTTACCACGCTGTGCGGATTGGTTGGCTTCACACATATCTTGGATTTCTTCTAATATGTGCAGGTTGCATAACGGTGTTTTCCTTCACAGTAAGAACGTCGGATGAATACATATGTAAATCGAAAATTGAAAAAACACGTTGATACTAGACGGGTTCGAACCCAGGACTTGCAGATTACAAGTAATTTGCGTAATTCCTGAGCTACCGACGCTGTTGAATATCACTTGAAAGAAATTATTTAAAGTGACTGTAACATAGCTTAAACTTTCTATATCTCTATTTCTATTGAAAAAAAACTGTTTTTTTACTACAATAAAGTCTGTTACTTGTTGTTACCAGTCTTATCTTTTAATTATGTGTGTGTAGAAATGTAACTGTACGTTATAAATTTGTTGTTTGTTCCGACGTGTATTGCATAGAAGTCAATCGGCCCACGTCATCGGCCATTTGAATGGAGCTACGCGACCGTTTGCGTGGCGCACGGCATTATCTAGTTCGTGTTTGTTGCGATACGTACAATGTATAAAAATATACAAAGAAATTGCGATGTCTTTTTGAAAAATAAAACTTTGAATAGTTACGTTATTAGATGTGGCGTCTGTAGGGACAAACGGCAAACTTCAAGGTCACCTGCTCAATGAACATCCTAATGTCTTGCTCTATAAATAGCAAGCCTTTTCTTTTTATAAATCATAAATAGCCTGCTAGAATTTGTAATTTGCAATTTTTCAAAGCAAATCAATTGCTGCCCATAGAAATCCTCAATTGTTGATGCGTTGCCTACCTTTAATTGACCGCTTAGGGGACGCACAGAAATAGGATATTTCCCCTACCTATGCGTTCCCGTCTTCCTTATAACTCTAACTACTTTTTTAATATGAAATTAATGAATATATTTGATATAATAAGACTGTTGTACAAAAGATAATTTATGACAAAAGTCAAGGCAAGAGAAGTGTAAGTTGCCTCGCAAATGTTTCCAGGTTTATTGCAAATGTAACTTTGTCATTTCTTTGTTCATGATTAAGTATCTACATAATTTAAGGTTACTGTATAATGGTAATGTACCACGAGTACTTGGTAGCAATGCATCCGTTTATTTATAAAACAGACAAGCCTAACCTTGGTTACGAAGTTCATTTAACCGATTTTTAAATGGAATTATTAGAGGGTTGAAATATAAATATAAATGATGTACAACTCGAAATGGCTGGAGGTATTGACAAAAATATGTTTTTACCAAAACCATCTAAATTTAGTTTTCATTTAAACTGCTACGAGCAAAACTATGACTGACATAGCAAGATAAGCTATTGATGTATTGTTATAATTTATACAAAATAACGATGGGTAAATTTCGTAGAACTTGGAATAAATCGATTTATTATGAAAGATGACATGATTACGAAGGTGTGATGACAGAAATAAAAAATAATATATCGATCTGGGGACAGGTGCGTCTACCCTACGTTGAATATTTGGCAGGTAGACGAGATAACGGCAGGGAGATAATGATTACTAACATTGGAATGCTCTGATATATGTCAAAACACTACTGACATTGGTAATATAAAAGGCTAATTAAGTAATTAAACTAAAACAAGTCTTTGTAAATTGTGATAAATAGAAACAGTTTAAAACAATTCCGTTGACTAAAACTGCAACTTTGTTGAAAATTAAATTAGCGAAGTTTGTTGGCGACGTTTAGAGGTCACATTAAAAACTCTTCCGGGCCTCGCCTCGAGAGGTGAAAGTTCACGGTAATATTAAATTATAATTTTTGAATATTAATGAATCGTGCTTTTGCAGCAATTACCCCCAAGTGGTACGGATCGCGTGAGCTCCCGAAAGATCCGATGCCTTTGTACTGTTTGAGACATTAAATGATGGCGCGCTCCCTCGCCCCCCGTAGGCCTCGCCAGCCCCGCTCCCATCGCCTTGCATGGCCTCAGTTCTTATTACTTTCGGCGCCCTGAATTTGCATTCAAATTTTACATTTCACTTTTAAATGACCGATAGACACTTTTATCATATTAAGTCTATCAATATATATTTTTAAGTAAGTCAAGTTAGGTAAAACGTATAATTAAGTTTGTAGTATTTAAGTGTTTAATAGATTATATTTATTATTTTTTCAGTCCACCATCTTTCCATCTGCCGTTGGAATATGCGAAGTTAGTGTCGGAATGTTCTCGTCTCCGGCACGCCGATGACGGCTCAGGCTCCAACGTGGTCTGGATACACAAGCCCGTCGCACAGAGTCAGGGTCGCGGAATATTCTTGTTTCGGGTACAATTTATTGAAATTATTAGATATTGTTTTTTATTGCTTAACATGACAAAACTCCATGTACAATCCATACCATCTCATACAGTGTTTGCTGAACAATTTAATATTCTCTAAAATACTACCCACACTGGAGACCCTCTCGGAGACTGGTGTGACAGGTCAAGGCCTTAGCAATAAATTCAAATCTGCACACTAATTTGAGTCGATAAGACCATAGGTTAGTTATATATTTTCTCAATTTTGCCGTATTTTCTTAATTTTGACGTCTGTGGTGTTTCAGAGTGTGTGCGAGATGCGTTGCGGGGGTGCGGCGGTGGTGCAGCGGTACATCGAGCGCCCCCTGCTGGTTGCCGGTTACAAGTTCGATCTCCGGTTGTACGTGTGCGTACCGGGATACCGCCCGCTCACCGCTTATATGTACGCAGAGGGGCTAGCTAGGTTTGGTATGAAAATTTGGTATTTCATTTGTGGAAATTTAACGAATATATGATACTTCGGAATTAAAAGAGAACTTTATTAGCCTATGTGTTCTTCCAAACTATGTTCTAGAAATATGCCAAATTTTATCGAGATTCGTTGAGCCTTTCTGGAGA